GATCGGAAAGAAAAACTTCAACTCGCATTAATGAAAACATTTGTGGTAAACATTTAATTTTTATTTAGCCGCTAGATTAAGCAGAGGAGCCTTTAAAACTGTTATTGCTGAGTTGAATTGTTAGTCTGTGGCAGTCAAATGGATAAGTTCTATAGCAAGTAACGCTCAATTTATTAAATTGTTGCTTATTTTGACAAGCATTAAGCATTTCAAACTGGATATTGGATAACAGCATGCTTTAAGTGGAATACAAACAAAGGAAAAACACCGTAGAATGCAATATGTTTTGCTGTAGCTTCTGATTTGCCTCGCTTTTATTCTATGTTTTTTACCTAAGCCTAGCAGTCCAGAAGCACTATAAGTACTTGGAAGATGATTTGTACGGTTTGGAAAAGGGTTTCATTGGGTTCAGCAGCCTACATTGGATTAATCTTCCAAGCGCATTGGCCTAACACAATGGAAATTGTTAAATTTCTTTAATATATTCCTCGGAAATTTAAAAATATTTATAGTTATAGCACAACATTAAAAACTTAAAGGATCCTTTCCATACTATATATCTTCTACGAATATATTTACTATTCGCGAACCACACAATAATTGACATAATGAAGTCTATAAAATACAGCCATCTACACAGCATTATAGAAGGGTACGGCGGAGATATTGAATGCAAGATTTAAAAAGGCAAAATTATTTTGTAGGTTTTCACTATTGCGATCTATTATGAATTATTTCTAAGTTGCGGACAATCACTTTTGGAATTGCATCTTCAGCGCCATACTCTATTTATTTAACAGTTGTTTTCGATTCATCTATGATTTGCTTTCTGGTTAGCTTAATGCTTTTAGACTTAAATTGTAAGCTTCGATCTCTGCAAATGCTCTTTATTACTTCTGCAATTTAAATAATTCGTCGCTGCTTTTAAAAGTTAAAATGTTTTCTCTGTCTTTTTAAAATTTGCCTTCTATTTAAATAATTTTCTTAAATTCTTGCAAGTATTTAGGCAACATTTGCGTAGTTATAATTATGTGATAATTTTCTTTATTTATTAATTTTAGATCTAGTACCACACTGTTCCACATTTGTCAGTCAAATGCAAGCTGTGTCCGCTTTTCCCCCTTTTTTTCTTTTTTCGCTAGCAGGGTTTTTTCAGCTTCAAGGCTAGAATTTTTTGCATAAATTGCGGGTCGTTGCCTGACAGCCACATCTACAGCAACAACAGCAACAACAACAACAACAACAGCAGCAGCAGCTGAAATCAAATAAAACAAAAGCAGCAAAAGCAACAGCAACAGCAACAACAAAGTGCGACAACATTTGCATGCTGACTTGAAATTCTTCTCATCGTGCTCGTCATCATCATCAGCAACGTGCTGCCTGCTCCTGCCAGCCTGCCAGCCCGACAGCCTGCCTCTTGTTATTGTTGTAAAAATTTTTATTTATCTTATAATTATGTAAATGAACACTCGCACATAGCCGCACAGCAACACCAAGCGCATGTGTGTGTGTGTGGGTGTGTGGGTGTGTGTGGCTGTGCTTTTTGCTTTGCATATTTTATGGCGCAAGTACGAGTCACATTTGCCAACTGATTTTTGTCAACTCCGGCATAACTGCCATGGCTCCTGGCATTTCCACAGCTTGAACTGTTGTGGAATATTTCTGTTGTAGTTGTTGTTGTTATTGTTGTTGGCACTGTGGCTTTAACTGCTGAGGCTGCCAAATATTTTTCGGGCTGTTGCTTTTCTAGTTTTGTACGAACTTTGTTCGCATTGCCGCTGTTGGTTATTATTGTTACTTTTTGTGGTTTCTGTTTTGTTATTTTGGGCTACAAAAATAACAAATCAAATTATTATACAAAGGCACAAAAGTTGCTATACCCAAAGCGCATGGCTATAGCCCAGCATTGGGTTCAGAAAGTTTTCAATTAACAAGCTCTCAATTATATGAACATGCGCATATATTTGTTGCTTCATTTATTCATTCATTCATGCACAACAACGAGTAATTAGCTCAGACACAACAAATTCAAATCACATTTTAAAGTAAAATAGGTACAATGAATTTAATTTCAGCGCAAAAAGGTCCAATTGGCTTATGCGCTTTTGTTGTTTTCCAATAAATCAGCCGCAAAGGTATTCGTCGCACACATAAGAATTTAAAGGCTCTGTTCAGACAGAGAAATAAATTTACAGAAACTCAATGCAGTGCCTGTCAAATAAATGCTCCGTAGTTTCCATTGTAGGATTTTTTAAGTCGCAAAACGTTGTTTGTTGAAAACCAAGATAACGATTTTTTATGGCCCTCTGTTTATGTTTTAGATTCAGTTTCGATCGCCATGTCGTTATAAAATATTAGCAGAAGGTAGAATATAGACGCCTTAACCTCAATTAATTTAGCAGGCAATATACAACTTGGTAATAAATCTACCGATTAAATTTGTCTCACTAAATTGAAACAAATTTGCATTTATTACATTCTACATTATTATTATTATTGAAGAAATCTCTGGATCTTAAATCAGTTTCAGTATCTCATATTTGTATGTTTGCCTCTTACATCATTCAGTGAAAAATTCATTTTGTTACAGACTTTCATCGCTTTTGAAATTTTAAGTAAATTTGAATACATATGTTATTCGTTATTCTTAGCTACTTTTTGGTCATTTTGTAGGCTTTCATTGCTGCTAAAAGCTTTGGTAAATTGTGATATAAATTGAATAAACATGATAAATATAACTAAATCATGCAAAATATTATCTGTAGGTCTTCTTCTAAGTAGGCCTGGGTTAAATATTTCGAAAGTGTTCGTCGATTTCTGTAGCATTTCATTTGTTAATAGCCATTCATTGTCCAGTGTTGGGCAAGAACATAAACTTATTTCTGATTGCAGTCATTTCAGATAGAACTGATGGTAAAATGTGTTAAACTACAGGCAGAAACATTCTCGAATTCTTCTAAGTAGGCCGGGGAGATTGGAGGAGTCCTTCAAACAGCAATGGGTTAAATATTTCGAAAGTGTTCGTCGATTTCTGTAGCATTTCATTTGTTAATAGCCATTCATTGTCCAGTGTTGGGCAAGAACATAAAATGAAATGAAACAAAATTTGCTAACTATAGGCAGAAACATTCTCGAGCTCTTTTTTCATTAAGAAAGCTCGTTTGATATTGTTCATCAAACATGCCAATCAAATTTGTCGCCGCATACCTTCAAATCTTTTCTGCCTGTCTGATTATTCCTTTAGAAGGGAAAAAAACCGTGAACGTTTTTAAAAATTCGGGATGCAAATGCAGTGTGTGGGTAGGTAGGCGGGCGGGAAGCTGAGCCGAACATGGCAGCTGGACACTACAGAGTCGGCGTCAGTCATTTGGGAAATCCACATCGCATCTACATCATTTCAGTTTAGACATTTCGGCCAGTGTGTGTGTGTGTGTGTGTGCGAGTTTGTTGCTGTTGTTGGCATCGTCCTCGTTCTCGTCATCGTCTTTGTCGCCATTTCAAACTGATTTTCGTGTTGTCCCTTTTGGCGTAATTCAAAGCTTTCAAGCTTTGCTTGCTTTTGATGCCGTCCCTCCGTTGGTCCTCGCTTTTTTCCACCCAAAATTAGGCAGCCGACTCAAATGCAGCCTCCGTCGCTCATTTGTGTACGATGTTGTTGCTGTTGTTGCTGTTGTTGTGTTGTGACATGTCGTTTTTATGGGATTTTGTTACTTTTGGGTTGCTGCTCGTTTCACTGCCGGCTGCGGCTCTTATTCGATTCTTTACAAAATGATTTCACTATTTTCTTCTCTTTTTATTTTGTGAAATAAGATATTTATTTGCTTCTTAGTCGGTTTTTGGTTGCCTTGCCAGCAAATTGACAAATAAATTGTCGATGGGCTGTTCCGCCAGCCCGTTGCTCGTTTTGTCGATCGTCCCATGGTCCAATCGTCCTTAGTAAGGTCCGGTGCAGAGGAGTCAATTGTATGGCCTCAGAGAGCCTCATGAGTAGCTTAGGGCTTACAGCATTTGTTTGCTTTCGTGCGGTGCCTCATGTGGGGCTGTGAATTCATTGTACATTTCCCCAGCAGTGCAAATTAATTTGCAAAAATCTCAAAAGCAAGGTAGCTATTCAAAATGTCGAATGTTTGCAAAGGCAAAAAATTGACAGTATTGAAATAATGAGAGGAAACGATAAGAGCTGGATGAAGAACTAATAGAAAAGTCACTGGATGCGCTTTGAACTATAATGCCAGTTGAATAAATGGCAGTAGTCGATTCAATAATATAGGCACGCATTTCAATCATATGCCGATAAATTGCCGGGAGTTAAAGCAGTTAACGCTTTTATAAGTTTATTTTAATACAAGTGGTTCTGTAACCTTTATTTGTAAAGTGGCAAGCGTAAAATGAAGCTTTAATTCAATTTAAAAAATATAAAAGAAGTCTAAGAACAGTCCGCCAAAGTGATCGGAACTGTTTTATTCTAAAATAAACATGATGTATACAAGAAATATTTAATAAAAAATTTATTTCCTTCCACAATTGCGCGCTAAAAACTTAATTTAATTTAATTTAAGTCCAGCCACAAATGAGAGTCGAACAAAAATGCAAGTTACATTAAATGTTTTTCAGTTGCTTTAAAGAATATATGTAGATTGTAAATTGTGGAAACTCGATTACTAATAATAATACTTTTTACTTCAATTGTTAAAACAATTATTATAATTATAAAATTCTAGCTTATTGCAATATAACTCCACTCCACTCTATAACTTATATTAAGATTTTCTTAGATGTTGTTAAGAGTTAAGAGTCTATTATATGGCTTTTTTCGAATTGAAAGTTTTTAGACCTGTTAGGCCCACTTTATTGGTCCCCGCCCACGTTTTTTAAAAGTACAGCTTCTAAATGATTTTTTATAGAGCGCGCTCCAAATAATTATCGCTTAATGATGTGTAATGGCAAACAACCCAAGCAACAAGAACAAAACAAATTTGGTAGACGGAGCAACAACTTACCATAAATTTTCTGTTTTTGGCACGAGAGAGAAACTTTTGCAGGCCCAGCACCAGCTACCAACTACCAGACAAAGGCAGGACTTGGACTTGCCTGCAGTTCAACGAACCTCCGACGATGGATGCAGTTGTTTATTTTCGCATGCATTTAAGCATCATTTGCCATTTTGCCAAGTTGGCGCTCGCGAAGCCTGAAAAGAGCGAAATTGAAAATGGAGAAAATTCAATTTGTTGCTGAGCACAATTTATGAGTTTATCAGTTGTAATTGCAATGCGATTGAGTTATATGCCAGCTTATAGCGTAATTTACATTTCATTCTCGCATAATTTATGGCGGTGGCTTAACTTCGAGCAGCCACCCCTTAATTGGAGGGCCACTTGGTGGCGCTCTGTAAAAAACTCAATTAGAGTTGCTAATTAATTTATTGTATTTGCTTAAACCATGCACGCCACAAACTCATTAAGTTGTCACATGTAATCAGCGCCCCCCAGTTGCCTGAAACAAGCTGATGGGGAAAAATAAAGCAAATAAAATAAAAGTGCCGCACTCTACCAAAACTAAAACTAAAATTGAAACTAACTGACCAGAGCGAGCCATGGACAAGGGTGGGGCGATGGCCATGGAGTCAGTCAACAAACTTTTGTCGAAGCTTTTTGCTAAATTTAAACTGTCACATGTACGCGCGTGTGTGTGTTTGTGTGTGTGTGTGGGTCCCTCTCTCTTTTTCTCTGTGTGTGTGGGGATGTGGAGGAGTTGTTGCAACTTTTAAGTGAGTGACTTATTTTTTTTATTATTCCCATTTTTTTTGGTCTGCAAACTACAGACACCGTGACGACGACAAAGCTACCAACTTCATGGGCGTTCTCTACTAAAACCGATCGTCCAACAACTAGTTTTAAACGTGGCGTTCAATAATATGTGGACTTTGTGCGGCAGGCTGCAAGATCCCCTAAAAACAACTTAAATTAAAGCTGAAAACCCTATAATGCTAGATAGGTTGAACCTTACAGAGTCAGCTTTCTAGTTAAAATAATGAAGCTTCGCCGAACGTCATTTATTTATACTCTAACTTTTAATGCTAGTTCCCCTTCTAATTCCAATGAATGTAGGCTTTTTTTAGGGCAGTTAACTATAGAAAAATATCGAAACGCTTTTACAACTTCCACCAGTCATGTACGATTCTGCACATCTGATCGTTTCGTATTCTCGTACAAGTTTTTTTGGAAGAAACAATTTATTTATGGAATTTAAAGCAAACAAAAAGTCTTTTAAAAAACATTTTAAAAATTAGTTAAAGAAATAAAATAAATGAAATAAATTAATTAATACAAATATATGGTACGTTTATATGTACAAGTGTCTATTCAATATTGCCTAAAGGAAAGCTAAAAAATGAAATAATTTCACAAATATCTGGGGCTGTCTGACGTCCATAATGCCTGTCGAGGGAAAGCATTGACTCTCTTCTATGTACGAACTTCGCCTGAGCACACATCTCAAGCCCCCTTAACTGGTTTTATAGTAACGTCAACAATCTTCAGTTATTGCCCGCCAAAATCTCACTTCCTTCTTGGATATTTTATTCAGATTTTATAAGTACATTTTAAAGATATGGTGTGGGCAGCCTCTTATATTAAACAGCTTCGCTATTTCTACTGACTGTGTTTTTCTTTTTGTCATTGTTATTTTTACAAAAATGCTGCAATTAATATTTGATTGCCTTACTTCAATTGCAATTTGAAAAGCATTCATACACATATGTACATACTTATCTGAAGCCTTGTGAAAAATGTAAACTAACGGTTTCCCATTCATTATTTCGACACGAAATGGATATCACAAATGATATATGAATCTTGCTCGCGCTACTATGTTTTTTTCTGCTCGTCAGCATGTTTTTTGCATTCAGCTTTTATATTCGCTTGCTGTGCATGAAACTGACTTTCAGAAACATGATATGATAGCCTCCTCTTTATATTTTAAAATATAGATTACTGGCAAAAAGTTGGCGAACAAGTGTCGTTTACCTCTGACATGAGCGACGAACATTTTGTAGTTGGTTTTTGAACACGTACTGGGGAGGGGAGGGGGCTGTAGTTGGTCGGATGGGTAACAGCTGTCGATTGCAATTAAAAACTCGAACATTTTTACAACTACAATATGGTAGTGCTCCCAACAGGTATAGTCGCATATTGAACCACTCACTCGGCTTGGCACCACCCCCCTCTAGCCTTAGTGGAGTGAGTGGCACGCGTAATACTCTTGGCAGACGTGTCCATTCGACTTCATCATCATGTCGATGGCAGCCACAAAATGTTGCCTGCCACGACTCCATGGATAATTTTGTCAAAATGCAACTCAGGACCGTTCGATATGATGCGGTGTGTGCGAGTGTGTGTGTGTGTGTGTGTTAGTATGTCTGTGTGTGTGTGTGTGTGTACTGCATATTGATGACGTGATTTGCATTTGAATTTGCGGACATGATGGCGTCGCCGACGCTGGCAACCAAAATGCGTTCTTATTCTTCTTATTACTGTTGTTGTTGTTGTTATTGTTGTTTGTGCATATTGCGTTTGCAGTTCTCACACGTCGATGAAATTGTTTCCAAGCTACTACCTACCTCGCTTATTGTTCGACATCGTCCCAACCAAATGCCAATGCTCGTAGTATTGGACGCCATCATTCATTTGCGCGTTCGCGCCTCTTGCCAGTGAATTTGTTTTTTAACCAAATGCGGTTAATTGGCAGAAATGTTTTGCATGCAATTCTGTTGCATAATTCGGCTGGTTGTTGCTATTGTTGTTGTTGTTGTTGTCAAGCCCGATATTGGCGCATAATTACATCGCCTTGTTTATGCCCGTCCGTTATGGTTGTTTGCCCATTGCCAGCTGCATCGGACATGGACATGAACTGGCTATGAATTCGTTAACGTGTTTTTGGCATAAAATTAGCGCCAGTTTTGCAGAAATTTCTATGCGTACTTCGCTGTTATGTAATCAAATAGTTATGCAATATTTGCGGCCAAATAAATAACCACGGAAATAATTACGCCCTACAGATAATTTATTTGAATATTGCTCAACTTTTGAATCTTTGACAGACTGATTGGATTATATTAATTGGAGCAAAGCTGTCCATCTATAACATAGCATATTATATACTAGTCTATACACTTGTGTGTGTTAATATAAAATACTGTTCGCTTGTCGCATCGAATTATGAACAAAGTAGTTTTGGAACATCGATATCAGTGTCATTTAAAAAAATATCAGTAGAATGTTAAATAATTCTTGAACAAATTTTCTGCCTGTACTTATAGTTTTTATCAATTATCATACTTGTAGATCGTAAAATACAAAGTCCATTGGCATTTCGTTTTTATTTAAGAATCCTGTAAAGGTTGAGTAAAGAACAAACTTTCGCAGCGGGTAAGTCCTTCGCTCTTTGGCTTGACTCCTTGAATGAAACCTAATATTTACATATTGCAGATTCTCCTTAACAATTCTGTGAGTTTGCTTTTGCTTAAAAAAAGAGAAAGGTAAGTATTTTTAAAGGAAGCTACCAAACGGCTTAAGAATGAATCTGAATTTTATGATTTTTTTAGATGGATGTTGGACTAATGGCTGCCTACTGCGAGGAGCATATCCTCGTTATTATGGCAATCTTTTGTATTTTTGTTACGTGTTATATTTGTCCCAAATATTTGACATATCTGCTAACTGGCTATTTTTAACAAAAAGAGCTGAGTCCATTTTTATTTAAATATAAAGCTAATATTGTTATGTTTTCGTGATATACATGCTTTTAAATTTGTCTTTTTTGAATGGTATCTGCTTTATAGTGAAGCTCTCTCTCATTCTTAAGACAGTATATAGCCTTTGGCATGCAAATTTTTCATCTATTTGCTAAACTATTCAAAAATCTTGGCAGCTGAATTGAAAATGCAGCGAGAAAATAAACAAATTAAAGAAGAGATGTCAACGCTACGCCAAAACTTGTTGACTGCCGTTGAAATCAAGTAAAAGAAATTATAAAACGCAACTTGTGTGACAGCAATGAAATGGCCATTGGGGTCTGGCGATTCCGCCAATACATAATGGCAGGAGCAAGGTTCGGGCTCAGCGCTTACAAATGCAGTGCGAAACGTTTAAGCCAAGCACATTGAAAATGACCGCAAAAACCAAACGAAAATTTCGCTGCAACCGACTGTTTTCTGTTTTCTTTTTAGTTCTGTGGGGGCCAGAAAAAGCGGCGCAAAGGCACATAAAACACATAACCACACAGCGACACTCGCATACACAAACACAGTCGCATATAACGGAATGAGTGAGGAGAGTGTGCGCTAAGAAATAATGTCCTGCGGCAGCGTTGGGAAATGAAAACTTCTTTGTAATGCGGCCACCGTCGCCGCACACCAGCAAGTCGTCATCAGCGTGGCTCGGCCTTTGGCACCACAAAGCCTTAACTTCAGTCGCAATTCAGAGACTCAGCCACAGTTACAGCTTCAGCTACAGCTTCAGTCTCAACCCCAGCCTTAGTCTCTTCAGTGCCAGCTGTGCCCAACTTTTGGGGGCAGGCTAGCAAAAGTTACGCAAAATGCTCGCAGCTGATGAGTGGCATGTCAGTCAGTCCGTTAGTCCGTTAGTCCGTCAGTCAGTCTCGCTGGACAGGAAGGACAGTCAGGACAGTCAGTCATGACTTGTGGGTAGGGATGAATAGGGGCATGTCATGGCGGTGGCGTGGGTGCCAGTCGTGCTCAAACAAACAGTCAAAAAACTATACGTATACGTAACATGAAAGTAAACACCACAGACACACACACACACACACACACGCACGCTTTTATAGCAAACAAAAACAATGAAGACAGCGGCAACAACATCAAACTTTGAGCGGCAAACTTATCGCGTGGCACAAAACCGCAAAGGCAAAGAATTCATCATCATTGCTCATCATCATTGTAGGTGTGAGCTCGGTTCCCAGTGGATCTGTTCTTTCTTTCTTTTCTTTTTTTGTTGCTGGTATTGCTGCTGCTGGACACACAGTCCACAGTTTGTGTGTGTGTGTGTGATGTGGCAGCAACAAAAGGAGCAAAGAAGAAGAAGTTAGACACCCCCTATGGCGCCATCCAAAATATGTCCTTTATTATATTTCTTGTCACTCTGCTCGGCGAATCGCCTTTTTAGTCATTCTACGCTTCTCTCTGGCCAAGTCAATCCTTAGGCATCAATTTCGGGAAATAATTTCGCCAACATCAAAAGTTTTAATAAGCCCAATGATAATGTTTGGGGCCACTTTGCAGTCCTGACCCGCTTCATGCTCTCGCCGAAAGTTTTTTTATTGCCTGCGTTGCGTAATTTCTTTCTAGCCATGAGTTATGGGAATGCCACCTTGCGGTCAACTGTTAAAGCTTTGGCCATTATACCGCTTATTGAGTGCGACGGCCACACACCTGCAGGCCACTTGACGCCGTGGGTGTACTCGCAGCGGGTATTATAGAAAAGGTTGCTAATGGATTTTGCAAGTAGCTGGAAGAGCAGTTACCAATAGAAGCACTGCAGGAGTCTCAAAAGTATAGGCACTACTAGTAGAATAGAAAGTCAGAGACGTTAGATGTGTTTTTATAAATTCATTATAATGAATACTTTTTTATAATAATGTTTAATGTTGAGTTTCACTTTATAGCTCAACCAATTTTAATTATTTTCGAGCAAAAAAATAAAATTTATTATAATAATGATAACTCTTGAGTTTTTATTTTTTCACCAAAAGTAAAACTCATTTAAATTTGATCCTGAATGGGTTTTTCAAACAGTTAAGAGGTTGGCGATTGCATTTAAAGTCAAAACAACTTTTGGAAACTGTTGAAATGTTTCCAAAACAATAATACGAGCGTTGTTATGAAAAGCTACCCATTTGTACTTGTCGTCCAAGAGAAATATTGAACAATAATGAACGATCTTTTAGTTTGTTTGAGACTGCAACTTCAGCAGAGAGGGACTTTGTTAGCGGGTATGTTAAGTCTTCGTTCAGACCCATGATACATATTTTGATCGTTCGTTATCACGAATATATATTATTCAGCTTATTTTGTTTAAGAATCTACCATGAAATATTAAACTGGATATTAAGTGTCCGGCTGACAAATATCAAAATACTTGTATGTGTTTGCTGTGTATAATAAGTTACACCGACATTATGTTATGTGTGCGGACATTTTCAGAAGTCGCTGTGACATATTTCTCTCCAACCGTACATCATACGTATATTCTTTGTTAACAGGAAACATTGGTGTTTTGGCCATTATTGAAGCCGATGGCCAGCTTCACCAATAAGAACCAAAAACAGAAACTTTAATAAAACATATTTATAAAACCAACTCAACTGCTAACCAATTATATCTCTGCAAAATGTCCACCCTCTTTCAATCTTAACTAACTCAGAAAGATGACTTTATATTTCTTAATATTGGATAGTATTCTGGTTTGGCATGAAAAGAGTATTCTTGCTTCGCTTTATGACTAAATCCATTTGCTGCTTTATTTATTGCTTTGTGCAAAGTTCAGGCAACATGGCGTAGCGATGAATTATGGCTGCAATTTATGACAAATTTGTGCTTTTGTTGTTGTTGTTTTTGTTTTTGTTATACTGTTGAAGTGCTTCCATCTGTGTGTCTATCTAGTCCCCGTCTCCACGGTAGACGCGTATCTGCAATTATCAAATCGCCGAATCGCCCACATATGCTTCGCTTTACTTATGAGAGCCTCGTTCTCGTTCTTCGAAGAGGCCATCAAATTCCCCATTGCGCCCTAAATGCGTTCTGCCTTTGCGTTTTTTATTGCGTTCCATTTTTGCGTATTCTTATCTCGACACACGCCTACAAAGCCCCGCCCACCACCCCGCCCCGACTTCTCCGGCGTAACGATGTGCTAAATCAAGTTAACGTTTAAGTGGCCGTTTAGTGCCTACCCTGGCTGGCTCGACTGCATCTTTTTACGCCTGTCCTCCGCTTCTGAGCCTCTTCTCGTTCTCGTTCTCGTTCCCATTCTCTTTATTATTATTTCGCCTTTTGTCATAAAGCTGCTCCCTGTTCCTTGTTGGCGCATTTTATTGACTGTAAAGCTTACACTTTTAATATTTTCTTTATGTTTTTGATTATTTTTGCTTGTTTTTTTGTGCAGCTTGTAATTGTTTTTTAAACAAAGTTTATAACTTTTTGCAACCCGTAGTCGTTATTTGTGCATTTTCTGTTGTTGTTGTTGCTGTTGCTCTTGTGCTGCATTTTAATTTGCTTGTGTGCCTCTTAATGGACGTTTTTATTAAATTTTTTCCACTGGAGTGATCCAAAAAGGAATGCTGCAATTGCGTTAGTTGAGGTTGTTATTTATATATACTTGTATATATTTTTTTTTGAACAAGAAGAAGAAGAGAAGCACTAACTAATTAAAAACTACATTTTTTGGATACTTAAACTTGTACAAAAGTTGAACAGCTGCACTCAAAAGCGAACTAAGTGAAATTTTAAAATGCAGCGCACCTTCAACTCTTCAAGTCTCCCCCAAAATAATTGTTCAAGGAGTAGATAAAGGAAAAACAAGTAGATGACCCGACTTTGAAATGCTCTCTATCTATGTGTTGAGAAATTATATGAAATTGTAATAAACAATTTTTTTTAAATTTTGGTTGCTCCTTCTTTCGGATTTAAGTCAAAGCAGCAACAACATTTATGGCTGTAAATTTCTTAATACCTGTCTTCTCAACCTGATGAAGAATATGGGGTCCGATATTCTTTCTGTGTGTTACATGCATTCGCGCAAAACTAATACACCATTTTACCTTTAGGGTACAGGGTATAGTAAACGAGTTGGAGTAATATTATTTAATTTGAATGCTACAAAGCTACCTAGAATTCCAGTCCTTGTTGAACACAATTAGGTGTTGGCTCACAATTAATTTTTGTTCATTTCAAATGTTTAAATGTGGTTATACAAGTATGTTTTTGCCTTTTATCTCTGCTTCAGGCCGAACGAGGACTAGCTCATACATATTTAAGATGCATAGCTTGCACTGTGGCAGTTGTTTTCGGTATGCGTAATATGCCAATGCATTTGCTATTTCAATTTCAATTCCTTGCACTGCAATTGCATTTATGTAATCAACAAACAGACCCTACACGCACATCCTGCAGACGCAGACACACCCTCCCATATGCACGCACTCAAAAGTCCTTTCCCGCCTCTGTTTTGTATTATTGATGCTCGTTGTTTTGAGTTGAATGAACATATTTCGCCTTGACATACATTGCATTGTTGGCAAACAACAAGAGTGTCAGCCACGCAGCAGCTCTCTCCGCCGCAATCGGTGTTATACTCGTAGTACCTCCAATACACAGTGTGATATTTTAGACAGAAGGAAATTGAAAGTCCATATCAGAGTTTTCACCAATTGGTAACTACATATGTACTTGTATGTGCTAATGAGAACTGAACATTTTGTGAGCAAGCAATACAATTTCTCAATAGGCCATTCAAAAATAAATATATGAATATTTTTAATTTTCAGATCTGTCATATATGTATGTAACAGAGAATTTGGCTCTCTATCCGCTTCCAAATGCATCAAAAATTGGCAAAATCAAATAACAAAATGATAAACATTACATAATCTTAAATTGTAAAAGTATTGCCGCTTCATCGCTGGAGTTAAATATTAAAGTCTGTTTCTGCAACACAAAATTGATCAATTTCGTAAATTGTTTTGATTTTAATAAATTTGGGCATGTTATTCTGTTAG